GGCATCAATAGAGTAAGGACATGACACCCTTCCACAGACAACAGCAGTGGCTGATCAGTGGGTCTTCTTAGTGAACTGAAATGGCACATGCAGAAGGATGGGCTCAAGGAGAAATCCTGACAGAATGACAACCCTGCTCTTAAGAACTGGAGAAAATTGACCTGGAACACTCCACATAATTTTATATTCTATTTAGAATACATTTCTTGAGATTTTTGTTCTCAAATGTATTTGGAAATGGTTTGTACTATATAAAGAAAAGATCACTGTAATAACCAGTGAAAGAACAGAATTCAAATCAATAAAAGACAGCAGACATAAACATTATGATTTCTGATGGCTACAAATGTACCTATGAGACAGAATTCTAGGAGACTCTAAAACATCCATAGTAAACTTATTTTATTTCTATGGCCTGACTTATTACGTACTTTGTTTTAAATTATTGTAACAACTACATCAATGTATAAAGTTTGACACAGTTGCTATGGAATATTAATTATGCTTATTATTATAGTTATTAATTAACATAAATCTTATTGATAAAGAGGTTATATCTATATTGTATAGAATAAATATGATGAAAACTAAGAAGAAGTATTGTACTGTAAACTCTTCACAATCAATGTCTGGGAAGGGAAGCCAAAAACTAAGGTCCTATCTTGCAAATACATATCTGTAATGCCGCTTAAAATTTAAATCAGAGTTCACCACTAGGAGGACTATATTTTTCTGGGTTTGAATGTCCTGACTTCATTTTTTTAGACAAAAAAGAACTGCTTTTGTACAGGGATAGTCTGAAAAAGCTAGTTTGTGTTCACAATCCAGGTAGAGCCCCAGCCCTTTGCTGCAGGTTAATCCTGCCTGGACTAAGAGGAAGCCAATTCCTTCAGAGGGTGGGATAATAGAATCCCTAGATCCCTTTAGTGTTCAAGAATACATGAAACTTAAACGCTTGCCTTACTAAGAATTTGAAGTAAATCTAAAAAATAAGCTACATAGGAATACATTTAATCAAGAAGGTAAAAGACCTGTACTAGGAAAATTATGTAATACTGAAGAAAGACACAAATAAGTAGAAGCATATACCGTGTTTATGGATAAGAAAACTTAACATCATTTAAATGTGCATATACCCAAAGCAATCTACAGATTCACTGCAATTCCTATTAAAATACCAATGGCATATTTCACAGATAGAACAAATACTCCAAAAATTTATATGGAACCACAAAAGACCCTGAGTAGCCTCAGCAGTCTTAAGAAAGAAAAATAAAGTTAAAGGTATCGCAATACCTGATATCAAGCTATACTATAGGGCCATAGTGATTAAAACAGCATGGTACTGGCATAAAAACAGACACATAGATCAAAGGAACTGAATAGAGAGCCCAGAAATAAACCTGAGCCTAAATGGTCAATCTCACCTATAAGTGGAATCTAATCAACAAAACAAACAAGCAAGCAAAATACAACCAGAGACAATCAAATAAAAAATAAACTGACAGTAACCAGAGGGGAGAGAGATAAAGGGGGAAAATAGGGTAATGGTCATCAAGGAACATGTATAAAGGACACATGGACAAAGCCAAAGGGGATAGGTTCGAGAATGGGAGCTGGGGGTGGGTGCAGCAGGGGACAGTGGTGGGGGAAAACGGAAACAACTGTATTTGAATAACAATAAACAAATATAAAAAAAGATTTAACAAAGCAGGCAAGAAAACACAATGGGGTAAAGACAATGTCTTTAATAAATGCTGTTGGGATAATTGGACAGATGCATGTAAAAAAATGAAACTAGACCACCAACTACACCATACACAAAAATAAGAATATATGTGGAATATAATGAACAATGTAAACTGACAAAAAAAAAAAAAAAAACAGAACCAGAGGCATGGACACAGGGAACAGACTGACAGCTGTCAGAGCAGAAGGGGGCAGGAGACTGGATGAAACAAGGTGAAAGGATTAACCAAAAAATACATATATATAACATATAGATAGACACAGACCACAGTGTGGGAAGGCCAGAGGGAAGGGGGGTGGGGTGGATGAAAGTGGGCAATGGGGGTGGAAAGAGACTCTGTTTTGGGTAATGGGCACATGATGCAGGGTGCAGATGATGTTTTGTTGGCTTGTACACTTGAAACCTGTATGACTTTGTGAAACAATGTTATGCCAATGAATTTATAAAAGTATTTTTAAAAAAACAAATGTATCTCCAAAAATATGTCATCACAGATAAGAAATTATATTTCCTGCCAAAATGTGACACGTGTCAGGTCTATGGATAGTATATATGAACCTTCCCATCTGTTTTTGTACCACATATATAGATGCATCTAATAAACATTACTGTACCTTCAGTGGTTTCATTGTCAGCTTCCATTTTCTGCTTCTTGAATTCGTTTCTCTCTTGATTCAAACCCAACCCTTTAACACATCATTCCTAATTAGATGATTAGTGCTTCGAAGGGCAGGAGATAAGTCATTTGCATAATTTAATCATAAAAAGAAGTTAAAGATACAGATTTTGCTGTTCGTTTGTACAATTATCTTCCTCAGCCTGGGGGGCTGAGATATTAATGTGATTAAACAGTATTTCTGCAAACAGGCAACTGTGTGTCCTCTATTAAAGCAAGGCTGGAGGCAAATGAAAAATTAATTTTAGAAGACAATCAATTTTATTCTACATGACTTTAATAAATAACAGCCCATCTGCAGACAACTCATTAAGCCTTGGGAGGGTACATGTGTCACAAACTCTAAATGACACACAAGGCTGAATCTGAATTTTCAACCAAAATAGAACTAGTAATAAATGGCCCACCAGCTGCTATATCAGTCTAGAAAGTCAACGTACAAGAATTTCCTAGAAAATGAAGTGCGTACAATGTCACTCATAGTCAATTAGTTAATTTAGTACTGGTTTAAAAAATTCTGAAGACTGGTTTATGTAATTCTGAGATTTGTTCTCTTGTGTTCTGAATGGATGCATACATGGGTAGTCACACATATCAGTGTGATGTCGCTTTCAGGAATGATAAGAGTTCACACTTACTGATCTCCTATTATGTGCTAAGCCCATTAAGTACTTGATCTCCATCTTCTTTAACAATCCCAGGAGAGTTATGTAACTAATATTATTCCCATTTTTAGAGGAAAAAAACCCTCTGAGGCTTGGGTGGTCATATAGCTACAAAAGTTTTGGAATAAGGACAAATGTGGCTATCTAGGACAGAATAATACTACCCTAGCTTCTGCTACTCAAGAGCTGGTGCTGAGAACAGAGGAATACACACCCCTTATGTATAACAATAAATTTCCTTCAAATATGAACATTTCCCAAAGTAAATACACTGAATTATAGTAAATCATAGGTACACTGTCAAACCAACAAATTGAAATTATTTTAAGCACTTATATCTGCATACTACATTAGGCACTATGCATGATAAAACAACACAATAGACCATTCCTGAGGTTGATTAATTCAGACGCTAGTTTGGGGTGAGATAAAATATGTCCAGCTTAAAAGTTAACAGTTTATTAAAAATATGGAAAAGGACAAGGAGGAGGTGGGTAGGATGGAGGAATGGGGAAGTGGAGGGGAGAAGGATATGAGAAAGGAGAAGAAAAAGAAGGAGGAGGAGGAAGAAGAGGAAGAAGGATGGTTATCTGCAGATAAATATTCAGGGAAGCAAAGAGGTCACTTCGGGTGAAAAGGAAAGTCTCCCTCAATGATATAAGACTTCAGCTAGAACTTTAGACAAGAAGGCTGTTTTCAACAAGACCCTGAGTAGAGGAAATTCTTTCTGGGAAGGATTCTCAACCTTAACATTTTCTGTTATCAGTTTACATAACAGTTTATGTTACATCAGTGCATTTCCATTCAGTTTTAACAAAACCTGCCAGTGATTCATGCTTGAATAAAAAATTCATTTGAAGTTCTAATCTCATCAAACTTGAAATATCACGCAGGATGAATAAACACTTGTTTCTTTATTTTGCTTTTGTATGATAGATACTAGGGCCACAGTACCTAAAACAGTGTTTCTACAACTCTTTGGACAGTGGACAGCCTATCCTGATTGAAATAACCGTGTCTGGTGTATGCAAACATCTCTTTTCAGTGCTATATAAAGGATGAAAACAAGATTTTTAAAACAAATCCAACAAAGCTAAAATCAAATTTTAATAATGAAACTGCCTTTTGCCCCCTAAACAAGAATCTTAATAGCAGATGTTACTACATCTGGCTTCCGTTGCTATTCTCCAGCTGCAGAAATTAAAACTCAGAATAAGTAACTGAATCTAGTGGGAGTTTGCAAATGCTGACGAAATACTCCTTACCAACCATTCTACTAAGATACCAGGTGAATGGCTGTGCAAGAGCCACCAGCAAAACTTCATTTCCAAGGTAATTAGCAAGGACTTAGAAGTGAGACCATGCATTTCTTAGCTTTGCTCTGCAACGATTTCGCACAAGAACCTATTTAAAGCTTAACTATTTCTTCATCATCAAACCTCTAAGGCCACAGAAATCCCAAGAGTAGTCTAAGAGTAGCTAAGAGAACTGATGACCACAGCAGGAGCTGTTTAAGTAGCTGCCATGTGAAGTTAATAATGCATGAATCAAAAAACCAAGTGTTAAAAATACATATATACATCGATTGCTTTTCTCCCACTTTGAATGCATTATGAACCATCTCTAGGTAAAGAACCATGACTATTTCTTAGTTTGGCACTGTGCCTAGCACATTGGCAGCACTCTATCTATAAAATAGCAATGTGCTGAAATAAATGAAGGTGGGAACTTAATTTATCTCTTGTGGATACATGACATACGAATAAGAGAAACAAACACACATTGTGAGACTGATAATGTTCCTGGTATAAGATCAGTCCATAATAAATCAAAACACAGCATCTATTGTGAAATAATGTTGATAATAGATTGAATAAACCAAACTTTATTCAATTATTTAGGAAATGTTGGAAATGATGATTTCTCAGACTAGAGTCACCAACACTGGTCTTGATGTTAAAAATTAAGTTCTAACTCATTTGGGGGAAAAAAAAAGAAAATGCTATTTTTCACCATATCCTTCAAGACAGCTTAACTGAAGCACAGCACACCCATGGCAAAACAAGAATTGTTGGAGTAAATATTGAAACCGTTATAATACAGTAAATGAATTGCATATTTAGTTAGTTTTTGTCTGTATATTTCTTGTTATTCAAGCATAATTGTCTCCACTTTTCCCCCAACCACCTTCCCCTGCCCCACCCACCCCCACCTCCCACTCCCAATCCTGCACCCCTTCGATTTTGTCCATGGGTCCTTTAAACATGTTCCTTGATGACCCTTCCCCTATTTTTTCCCTTTATCCCCCTCTCCCCTCCCCTCTGGTTACTGTCCATTTGTTCTTTATTTCAATGTCTCTGGTTGTATTTTGCTCGCTTATTTGTTTTGTTGATTAGGTCTCACTTATAGGTGAGATCATATGGTATTTGCCTTTCACCGCCTGGCTTACTTCACTTAGCATAATGCTCTCCAGTTCCATCCATGCTGTTGCAAAGGGTAGGAGCTTCTTCTTTCTTTGATTTTCACATCCAAAGGATAATTGTCAGTTCTCAAGTTTTTTCTTTTGGTGGGGGCTTATTAGCAGCATTTGATATGGTTGATGAGTCCTTGTTTTTTGATACATTTCCTTTACTGAGGTTTCAAGACACCATTCTCTCTTCATTTTCCTCCTACCTTATCGGATATTGCTTCTCAGAATTTTTCTGATTCCTCCTCTTCTCCCTAATCTCTTTATGTTGGTGTGACCCAGGACTCAGTCCTTAAAACTATCCTTTGTTAATATTTGTCACCAATCCTGTCCTAAATTTATATCTCCTGTCAAGATGTCTCTCCAAAACACCTGACTTATATATCCAATAACTACCTTCCTGCTGAAAAGGCTAAGAGATAGCTAAATGTTAGTAGGCATAAAACAGAATTCCTAAACCATGTCCACAAACCTGTTCTACCTACAGCCTTCCCCTTTCCTTTTCTCAAATGATGGAAATTTTATCTTCACATAAAGCTGTTGGAGTTGTCCCTTAGACTTTTCTTTCTCTCCCTCAGTGTCTAATCCAGGAAGTCCTACTGATTTCATCTTCAAAACCTACCCAGAATCTGACCATTTCTTACACTTCTACTCTACCACTATGCTTTAAGCTGCCGCCGCCACCATTTCTCTCCCAGTTTACTTCAACAGCATTTTTCTTTAATTTGTATTTATTTTTAGAAAGGGGAAGGGAGGGAGAAAGTGGGAGGAGAGAAACAGTGTGCAGTTGCCTCTTGCATACTTCCTACTGCGGACCTAGCCTGTAACCCAGGCTGGGAATCGAACCGACAACCCTTTGGTTTGCAGTCTGATGCTCAGTTCACCAAGCCACACCAGCCAGGGCTATTTGAGGAGAATTTTAGCATCTTAACTGTTTCTGCCCTTGCCCCACATGAACCCTGTTCTCATCCTAGCAGCTAGAATGATCCTTTAAAAACCTAAGTAAAATCTTATTATAGCCTTATTCAGATCTCTGTAGTGACTTCCCATCTCATTGACAGTAAAAGTTGAAGTCTTCAAAATGTCATAAAAGGCCTTATATGACCCCCCAGTATTACCATTATGATCTCATTTCTACTAGTCTTCCCTCTACTCACTGCAATTCAGGCACACTAGCCTTTTTGCTATTACACAAACCTTCTAGGCATGATCCTGCTCTAGGGCTTCTGGTCAAATTGTTTTCTCTGCCTGAAACACTCTTTTCCTAGATTTGGCTTGGTTAACACTCCACCCTTTTAAATCTGTGAACAAAGCTCACATTCTCAATAAGGCCTGAAATACCCATTCTATTGAAAATGGCAGCCAACTCCAATTCCCGCAAATCCTTCCCTTGATCAATTTACTCCATTTTTTCCCACAGCACTTACCACCTTCCAGTATACAGTATAATTGACTTCTTTATTTTTAAAATATATTTTATTGATTATGCCATTACTGTTGTCCTATTTCCCCCCTTCATTCCCCTCCACCCTGCACACCCCTCCCCCACCATTCCCCCCTTTAGTTTATGTCCATGTGTCTCAAGTTCTTTATTCCCCCTACTATTCTTGCCCTCCCCCCATCTATTTTCTACCTACCGTCTATGCTACTTATTCTCTGTACCTTCTGCCCCCTTCTCCTCTCCCACTCTCCTGTTGCTAACCCTCCATATGATCTCCATTTCTATGGTTCTGCTCCTGATCTAGCTGTCCTCTTAGTTTGCTTTTGTTTTAGGTGTGGTCTTAATAACTGTGAGTTTGCTGTCCTTTCACTGCTCATCTTTTTTATCTTCTTTTTCTTAGGTAAGGCCCTTTAACATTTCATATAATAAGGGCTTGGTGATGATGAACTCCTTGAATTTGATCTTATCTGAGAAGCACTTTATCTGCCCTTCCATTCTAAATGAAAGCTTTGCTGGATAGAACAATCTTGGATGTAGTTCTTTAAATTTCATGACTTGAAATACTTCTTCCCAGCCCCTTCTAGGCTGTAAGGTCTCTTTTGAGAAATCAGCTGACAGTCTGATGGGAACTCCTTTGTAGGTGACTATTCCCTTAACTCTTGCTGCCTCTAGGATTCTCTCCTTCATTTTAATCTTGGGTAATGTAATGATGATGTGCCTTAGTATGTTCCTTCTTGGGTCCAACTTCTTTGGGACTCTCTGAGCTTCCTGGATTTCCTGGAAGTCCATTTCCTTTGCCAGATTAGGGAAGTTCTCCTTTATTATTTGTTCAAATAAGGTTTCCACTTGTCGCTCTTCCTCTTCCCCTTCTGGTACCCCTATAATTTGGATGTTGGAATGTTTAAAGATGTCCTCAAGGTTCCTTAGCCTCTCCTCATTTTTTTGAATTCTTGTTTCTTCATCCTTTTCTGTTTGGTCATTTTTTTCTTCCTTCTGGTCTACTCCCTTGATTTGAGTCCCAGTTTCCTTTCCATCACTATTGGTTTCCTGTGCATTTCCCTTCATTTCAACTAGTTTAGCCTTCATTTGTTCCTCTAATTTGTGACTAAAATCAACCTTCTGTGAACATCCTGATCACCAGTGTTTTGAACTGTGCATCTGATAGGTTGGGTATTTCTTGATCCCTTAGAGTCATTCGCTCTCAGGCTTTGAGTTTTTGTTGAGCCATAATGTTTTGGTCTGTCTGTGCCTGTTATATGTGAGGGGCAGAGCCCTAGGTGTTCACCAGGGCTGGGCAACTCAGTTCACTGGGTTGTGACACTGTATGTGGTAGTGGGGTCAAAGAGGGGCAACAGAGGTCCCCTCTGCTGCTTCCTGCCACTGGGGGCCTGCGTGGTCTGTCACTGCTCGCTCCTTCGCCTAGTTTAGCTGTGCATGAATGTGTGACCATGGTCAGCCAGACGCTTGGCACCCTCACTGGGTCTGCCCATTGCCACCCCACACCTGGGATCTGCCCATGGCTGCCTGCATGCCTGGGTTGGTCCAGTGGATCTTTCCTGCCCCACCCTGCTCCACCGCTGACTCCACCCCTCTTACGGGTCTGGCTGAATGGTTTGTTGTTGTTGGACTTCCATATAGTTCAATTTTCCGTGTTTTGGTTGCGTTTTTGTTACTAAAACTTTATTGTGTTTAAACATGGTTGTGCGAGGAGGCACAGTGTTTCTACCTATGCCTCCATCTTGGCTGGAAGTCAGAAATTAACTTCTTTATTATACATGTTGTTTATTATCCTCTGTCATTCTCACTACCATACTCTAATATAACCCTTCTCAATGACAGGAATCTTTGTCTCTTTTTTTTAACAGATGTATCCCAAGCACCTAATAGAGTGTGTGTCACAGAGTACACATCTAATAAGTATTTGATGAATAAATTAAAGGTAATTTTTTATGTGTTTATGCCTTGTTTCCACAACAAAATTTAAAGCTCCTTGAGGGTACCAACGGATCCTAGCATAGTATTTTGGACACAAGAGACAATTCATATTTCTTAGTAACTAGGTTCCAGTTTCATAAATTCTTTCAATACTATATCCTTTGATGAACTACTGCCACCCCTACAAACTTTCTTGTATCATTCCTTTTGCTTTTCTATCCAAAATCTTTACATTTTAGTGGTTCCTCAAACCTTTCTGTACATGCATATGTAAATGAGTGTTCACTAAGGGAGTTTAGTTACTATGCTTATGAAAACATCATCATTAACTAGCAGTATTTCCTATCAGGCCATGTTCCCTGAAGACATTCTAGGGACGCTCCTGTGTAGCTTGTATCTCTCCTCATAGCTTGTGTACCACTATTTTCAGCAACTAGGTTTTCCATTCTTTCCTGAATACCTGGAATAATCTACCACCTAACTAAACTTGTTTGCTCAAGTCTAGCTCTCGAGACTCACTACTTTCGAGAGCATGGTGTACCCGAGAAGATGCATAGAAAGCTTACATTCAAGAACTAGTTTTGCCTGTACTAGATTGTATGGTCTGAAGCAATTCATTTTACTTGACTACATCTCAATTTTCTCACTTAAAATTCCTGATCAGATGACTTACCTCCTAGAGTTGCTGTGAGGTAGTATATGAGCAAGCTTTGTAGCCTGTGAACTTTGGCACAGACACAAGGCACTGTTATTATTCTCTAGAAGCATTGTAAGTTTCATCATAACCATGGATGATACTGATTTAGCACTGAGTGCAAAAAATCTAAATGAGATTGATTGATTCCCAGAAGTACCATGTTATAAAGCGATCAGCCATCTGTTTATAAAAATATAGAAATTTTACAACAAAATGATAAAAGCATACTATTCTAAGAATCAGATTAAATTAGCTAATATATGTGGAAGCAATATATAAATACATACCAGTATATACATGTAAACTTTTTACTGTTATATCTAGCTAGTAATTTGAAACTTCCAGATATATTTTCAGATAGAAGGCATGAAGGAAACATTTAAACTTTACTGTATTTATTAAATACAAAAATGACAAAAATGCCACTTTGATGCCCT